AAGTTGGAACATCAGCATGATGGCATATTACTGCTGGTCATTGAAACGAAATGCTCCAGACGCAATACATAAAAGAAAGACCACAACATGAGTTTTGAGACTAAAAGACGTAGATTTCACAAAAGAAAACCAGTATGAATGAGGATGCATATTCGTTTGACATCAATGTTCTTTTATTTTCTTCAGTTTATTTGTATTTTTATCAACAGACATAGTAATAAAAAATAATTCATTGTGTTAAACGAAATAATAATTTGATCTAAGTAAGAGTATTTTTTTTTCCAGATTTGTACGTTATAGAAAAAAAATTATTATTTTCGAAATCTGCGTAGCTGAGTTATGGAAAATCAGTTATTAAAACCAAAACAACTTTTACGAAGTTTAAATTCGTAAACCTGTGTTATTAGACTCTTAGTGACGTGACTTTTTTGATAATTAATTCGTTTAGCCAATGCCTTTATCCAAAGTGACTTAAAGGAATTATTTAGCTAATATTATTTCTGCAGATATGGCGTAGAATTTGGATAAAATTTTCCGAAAAGTTTGAAAAAAGTCCCCGCACGTAATACAAGGTATTACTTCTGTTGTTTTTAATCGTATTATATGTCTTTAACTTCAGCAGTGAGTAATGTAAAGATAAAACAAATAGAGATAAAAACTTAGCTTTTTGATATGTTGCTAGTAGTAAAGATGTTTGTGAACAATTTCTGCCACAATTACAGTCTTCATGTTTTGTTGTGTGTGTGTTTTTACAACTTGCGAAATGCTTGCTTTATCATTTTATTATCCACTTGAGTTATGGTGTTGAATTATTACCTGAAAAGAAATGTTTTGCGTGGGAAAAGATGAGGTATGGTTAGTTAGATCGGCCTAAGCAGCTTCTTGAATCGACATAAAATGGGATTAAAAGATGTTACATATATTATATGAAACCTTCTGACTCATGACAAACTACTTTCGAATTTTAAAAACTGCAATTCGCACAAGTATCACATATAAAAATAATAATTGTTATTTGTAGATTCTACATAACCTGTACAAAGTTCATATCAAACGTCAAACTATTTCATTGGATGCAAAAGAACAATTCATACATGTGCATCGAATCCGGACTTTTAGAATTATGATCAATGGTTTGATATAAATAAAAGGATAATAACATAATGAATACATACATGATAATCTATTTCTTTTTATTTTCTAAATGAAGACTAATTTTAAAAATCTTAAAGAACTCAAGAGTTTATTACATCAGTCAATCGCAGTCATGGTAAACGTGGGGCTTAATTTCTTGATAATGAAAGAATCCTTGAATTACCTATGAAGGAAAGTGTTTGCTTTTTTCAGTATTTCTATATTCAATGCTTTCTTTAGCCAGGGTAAACTGTGGATGTTAAGGTAACGTTCGATAACTGCACTGATGAGAGGAATTACTTTGCTGCAATTACTTTCATACAAGTTCCGCGATCCTGATGTGAAACTTCCGTCCTGTGTCTCCAATACAGTTTATGTAGTGAGCTTTGTATGCTACATTATTCAGTCAAACACGCAAGTTATTCTTCCCTGTTCTGATATTTAACAAGTTCTTCTTTTCAATTACATTTAGAAGACACCAATTTCAATTTGAAGTCTTAACAAGTTATTCTTCCCTGTTCTGATGTTTAACAAGTTCTTCTTTGGAATTGCATTTAGAAGACACCAATTTCAATTTGAAGATTTAGCTATGCCATTGAAATTATTTTATACATAGCATTTGATTAAATTGTTGGAATCGTGGTTTTATATTTTCGTTGATATATTGATTAATTCAAGTTGGATTTTTATTTTTTCAAGAAAAGAAAACAAACGTGCATCCAATTGCTCTTCTGTTTATCTATCATAACCAGAAAAAAGAGAAATAATATTACATCTGGAAGTAGTAATGTGAGTTCATATGCAATAGCCTGTATCTTTCTCTAACGTAACAAATCTTTAATGCAGCAATTTACTTCAAATAAAATTTTGTTTGACGCCAAATTATTAGATATCTGAATGCAACCCAATTAAAAGTATCTTCCCAAAAGTGTTTGTAACATAAATATTTATAATCTATAAATAAAAAGCAAAGAGATTTTTAAATATTCTTACAAATATATTTTATCCAACCAGTTTTAGTTTGGCTGGATGTTTTTTAAAATATGATAGGGTTAAGTTGTTTTTTTACCTTCATCTGGTTCAGCTCTCCAACTCTTTCTTTCCAACTTTTTTTGTTTGGAGTTACAGTGTAGAGATTTATGGATTAAATGTCTTTGACTTTGCTTACATAGCTTTCAGTGTTGGTAGTAATTAACTCTTTTTGTTATTTCTAGCATTTGTGCTTTCACATATTTGTCTTTTTTAACATATTTTTAGTTCCTGGTTTTCTTTTTTACTTAAATTGAATAACTCTTGGCATTTTTGAAACTCTTTATGACATCACTGACTTGATGTTTTATTGTTGTCTTTTTGTTATTTGACTCTCTCAAGTACTTAGGGTAGGCATTTTCTTTTAAGAGTATAGAAATAGACGTTTCAGTTTCCTAAGAACTTATATCTGTGAATAGGCTTTGTATCCTTTTAAAAAAAGACTTGTCCTCGCAACGTTTGAAAAAATCCTTAGTTTTTTCTTGCTAAGCTATTTATCTTAAAAGGATAAACATCGACTACGTCTCTCGCAATATATCCCAGTGCTTAGTTACTCTTGGTTTTGCTTTTTTTCGTGTCTAATACTATAATCTGATGGGGAAAATGTTTGTGGGTACCTTTTGCAACCTACGTTGTAAGAAACTTCTGTCAACTGTTCGTGCTTGTTTTTGACTGTCTCAAAGCCATAAAGTTGTAGCATTACGAATAAGATAATCGATATCAGATGATGTTGTTGTTTTTTATATAACTTAAAGTGTACTGGAGAATGTGGTACACTTTCTAATAAAAAGAGAAACCTATAAAAAGCGTTATAGTCGAAACTTTCGAAAAAATGTTTCCAAAAGCATACTGTATATTAATCCTATTTTCTATTTGTTATCTTAAAATAGCTGTTAATTTGTTCACATTCTACACTGTCATTAAATATTACAAATACAGATTTGGCCAAACTTTTTGCATGTTGGCCTATATTGATATGTACCTTAAGCTTTGCAAAGATAATTGATAGCAAGGTTGCCAACCCTACAATTATTTTTACTGACACACAGACAGAGAGTTGCCTTTTTTACTGACGTCTTTAAAGAAACAGATTATGCTATATACTAGTTTGCTGATAACGTTAGAATGTTACTTCATTTCATTGACTGTCCGTAAATTTACCGAAGGTTGGCTACTCTGATTCATAGACTGTGATTTGTTTTACTTTTGTTTTATATACTCAGACCATCATTTGTAAGGAAACTGTAAAATAGGAAACAGAACTGTGAGATTTAACTACCTACAATATATATATATAGTCCTAATTATTTTACTCGAAATATTTTTTGTTGTAATACTCTAACGCAATGGTTTTCTATCTGTGTATCGAGGGCTCCTCTCAGGTGGGGCATTGAAACGATACATAATTACTGAAAGGAAGCGGTAACATAATATATTGATCCCATTTTGGTCAGTTCAGTTGAAAAAAAAATGTTGGTGGTCTGCGAACAAAAATGTTTGAGAACCAGTCTTCTAAAGTTTCTCTTTTTTTACGAAATTTCCACAAAAAATATAGATTAATAATATGTTCATACTCATTAAAGGAATAAAACGCTTTGTTTTAGGCATATTTGTCTCTTTTTCAACGGACCCCTTTAACTTATAACTTTCCTTGTAATCTTATTACCACTTTACCCTCACTATTGGTAGTTTAACAGAAGCTATATAACATAATTATTCCAGTCATAATTTTCCGTAATTAACTTATAACTTTCCTTGTAATCTTATTACCACTTTACCCTCACTATTGGTAGTTTAACAGAAGCTATATAACATAATTATTCCAGTCATAATTTTCCGTAATTCACATTTGTTTTCTTTGTTAATTTAAATTGTAATACTATTTTCTTACAGATGGTATAAAGAACAACATGGAAGACTGGATCCTGTGCTGTCAACAAACCGTTTGCAAAATAATCACGGTATTTTAACCTTTCGTAACACTCTGCGGGAGGATGAGGGTCTCTATGTCTGTGTAACGAACAATAGTGTTGAGGAGAAAAGAACTAAAACAACCCTGAAGGTGACGAGTAAGTTGTAGACGGTACATAACTTACAAAAACTCAAAGTACTCAAAGTAAATAATAAGAAACTAAGAAAGTTGACTTGTTAGGTTTCATGAATGCGATTCAAAAGTTTCAAAACATAAGCTTGAGAGAAAAGTCGGTTAAATGTAATTTTGGTACTGTTGCAATGTAGCTAAATCTAACTCAAAGGTTCAGAGTATAGACCACAAGAACGCTTCTAGGACACATGTAGAAAAAAGTAGATATCGTCTGGTCTAGAAGGTTACGTAGAGAAGGTGTGGTTGTAAATTTGACTCTGTCAGTGTTCTGTAACTTGTTTTTAATATTACTTTTAATTATATTATAAACAAGTAATTTCGTTATTATCATGATTTAAATGCCTTAAACGTATGAATTTATGATATAGCTTGTTTAAATCTTACCTACTCAAAATCTGAACTCTTTACTATACAAAATATTATCTACTTAAGTAAGCTATTGATTTTATGTTAGAGGGAGTATATTTGCATATCATGATTGCTCTTGTTAAGAAGTGTTTAAGGTCACACAATTTGTTATGTCTGTATATGTGCACACATATTCTGAATGTTTATTTTTTTGTTGTTTGTTAAATTTCGCGCAAAATTACACGAGAGTTTCCTGCCCTAGCCGTCCCTCATTTTGAAATTATAGACTAGAGGGAACACACCTAGTCAACACCACGCACCGCTAGGTCTTTAATCTGACTGAATTGCGGGATTTGTTCGTCACTCTTATAACACATCCTAAGATGCAGAGCGTGGTTTTTTTAAGAGTAACAAGACCTCAGATCTACAGCATGGCACGCTGCACACTGGACCTCTTTCGGGCCAAAAAGATTTTGTGTTTAAATATGTTCATTACTTCTTTTAAGTTAAAGTGTGAATTCTGGTCTTTAAGTCAGCATTATCATGTAAAACTTGGCATTTTTTTAAATGATCCCCACTTCAAGACTATTTTGCTTTAAATTCTTACTGTCTCATGAAATGAAAGTTTAATTCTTGTCGCGAATATTATTATTCTATCAATCTTTCTTTGAAAGTTTTCTCTGGTTATCAACTCGATGTTTAACGCCCTATATGTACGTAGGTGTTTTAACAACCATTTTGCGTTTAAAGACAAATCTCTTTCATGGGAGCGCATTTAGTGTTCTAATAATATATAACAAACAGGTGTTTCTTTTTTTTTCTATAAAATTTCATCTAATTGGTGTTGTTTTCGTAGTTTTAAATTAGTTGTTTGTAATAAAGTTAAAAATTAACTTCTATACTCTCTTTATATTTTTTACAGACCGCTTACAAATAACCGTTAATCCTCAAATTCAAATCATAGAGGTGGGCAGTTCCGCTTTATTTAATTGCACCATCAAGGGCTTTCCAGTCTCTTCAATAACCTGGGTGAAGGATCAGCGCCCTCTAAGGGTAGATTCTAGAATTACTCTGTTAACCGAGTCGGTGTTGAAAATTACACCTGTACACAGAACTGATAGAGGAATGTATCAATGTTTCGTCTTCAACGACGAGGAATCCGCTCAAGGAACATCGGAGCTAGCCATAGCGGGTATCAATGCATAATTCAAACATTTTCTTTATTAATTATTTGTATTTTATTTTATTTTAGTTGGTCAGTCAAAAGCAATATTACTGATTCTATCTATCTGTAATCCATCTAATTATTTATCAATCCCTCTACGCGTATTTATTATCTACTCCTGTATGTATTATCTACTTATTGAATGGTTTTAATTAACAAATTAAAAATTTTGTTATTTTCTATCTATTTCTGACTATTAAGTATTCTTAGAAGTAGGGACCTGAAAATTTTTTTAATGGTAAAAATGTTTTAGTGTCTAGCAATATTTTTTGTTATTTTTATATAAAATAAACATATTCATAACATTTCTGCTTATCTGTCTTATCTAATTTAATCTATTTACACATTCACAAGGTGTCTAATTGGCGGTCTTTTAACATGAAAACTTAAGGAATTACGAGTATAAGTAAAAGAAGTGCTTCTGGTATTAAACACATTAAGATTATATATTTTAAAGATAAGTATACATTATGAATATTCCATATTTTTCCTAATAGATGTCGCACCAATCTTTATATCCAGCTTTCAAGAAAAAGATGTATCCCCTGGCATCTCAGTTTCTCTCATGTGCTCAGCAACGGCCAATCCATTTCCAAACATCACATGGTTTATAGATAATCAACCAGTGCACAACTCCTATCGGATAGCTCAGAATAATTACCTCTCTAGTGAAGACAACATGGTCAGCTATTTAAATATCACAGATACAAAAGTAGAAGATGGTGGGCTCTATACTTGCCTTGCATCGAATGACGTCAATTCCATAGAACATTCTAAAAGACTTAACATCCGTGGTTCTCCGTTTATTAGACCGATGTGGAACATTACTGTAGTGTCTGGTCACACTCTTGTCCTTAGGTGTCCGTATGGTGGCTTTCCCATTGAACGAATCACGTGGGAAAGAGGTAAAATGACTGAACGTTTAACCGTTACACTTATTTGTCTTTTAAAGCCGATTCGTGCCTTACCTTTAATTCAAAATACCTTATTTGTGATTAGGTTTATTATTTAGAATGATCCTTATTTTTTTATTCCAAAAACACTAAAAGTAAAATCAGTATGAATAGTTACCCAAATAATGATAATGAAGAAAATTGTTAATGAATATATATATTTTACACAATAATGTTTCTAAATTATGTTCAGGAAAGAGGAATCTTAACAATGACGAATCTTGCTTTCACTCATGAAATATTGAAAGTTCCTATGATCATCCTAGCTTTAACCAAGAAAGAATATAAGAAGTAAGGACGCACTGAGTTGACTTCTTTGTACGTTTCTTCAGTGCTCTTTGTTAGTTTGTTTTTTCATTTCGCGCAAAGCTGCTAAAGGGCTATGTGTGCTACCACTCCCGAATTTAGCAGTGATAGACTAGAGGGAAGGCAGCTAGTCAACACGACCCACTGATAACTCTTGGGATATTCTTTTACCAAAAATAGTAGGATTGACCGTCACATTATAACGCCCTCTTGATTGAAATGGCCAGCATGTTTGACGACGAGCATTCAAACCTGTGACTTGCAGATTGCGAGTTGGGCGCCCTAATCACCAGGCTATGCCAAGTTAATCCTTTAGTACTGATTAATTTTTTTTCAAGTACAAAAACTAAGTTATTGTTTTATAATTTGTAACTAGTTCACAGTTAAATGGTAAAAAGTGATATTGAAAAAGGACAATGTTATCATCCGTCATTAATTTTATATGTTTAGAAAATATGTTGTTGCTATAAAGCTTTACACCAGAATGGACTTTAAAATTACACAAAAATTAGGTTATTTTCACGAACATTTCTTTAAATAAAACAAAGATTTATAAAAATACTATAAATAAATAGTTGCGAATAAACTGGAATATCCTACTCGCATCTACTATAATTGTACAACAGCTAAGTTGAGTATTCTCAGTCAATTTTGAGATGGCAAGGCCAAGTGGCAGCATGTCGAACTGTGGGTCGTAAGGTCTAAGGTTCAAGGCGCGATATACTGTTAATACACTCACCACTTTCAACTGTATAAAGCTTTATAACTGTGAAAGTCAATCCCGCAATACTATTAAAAGTAACCACATATTCAACTGATTCTGCTGAGCGATTAACCTTCCTCTAATAAGCAGTTCCAAATTAGGATGGCTTTGACTGAACACTAGAGTCTTTGACATGGGCATCTGGCACGTAATGTTCCGTTCATGTTGAAAATACCAAATACCTCGATCATATTCAATTTATAAAAACTTTGCTTGGTGCACTGCATATATATATGTATATACATAATGATACTGAACAAACATGCAATAGGCACTATTAATAAGCTTAATATGGAATATTTGGAGAAGAATTTCGAACAAAACTGTAACAATTCTCCCAAAAGCACACCACTAGATAAGATATGTTAAAAACCTTACATTTAAAACAGTGCTTCTGTACCTTTTTCAATATCATTCACCCCTATAAGTTTTTACAACAGCTCACTCACCCTAGTTCGTAAAAAGACAAAAAAAGTACGAGAATTGATATTATTAAATTATCAATAAATTTAACGCGAAAACTTTTGACAGGAAACTCCAGCAGAACTGAAATGAAATTCTGAAGTTAAACACATTTTATCACCTCTATATTGTGTGTTTTCTAGTATTAATCAAGCATCAAACACGAGATTGTAGGATATTCAAAAGAAACGCGCATAACTTACATTGAAAAAAATGATAAAAATATTAAAGGTCCTAACGGTGAGAAGAAATGAATATTACAAAATATGTGAAGAGAGGAAGGTTAAATCTAAGTAGAATGAGTATAAGTAGAAGAAATGTGGGGAGAACCAGCTGTTTCTAACTATTAGACAGACCTACTCTGCTTAATCTTTTTGAAGCAAACTTTGTCACAGCATGGTGTTGTGATAATAAACACAACCATATGTCGAAGGCTCGTTTTAAGAATGAAGACAAGACAGATGTTTTATTGTGCATGATATGCATGAAAAATAATGTTATTTTTTTTCCAAACAATAATTTAGAAATGGACCCGAACAAGAGTATAACTGATAATACTCATTCACCCATCATTCTTATTCATCCTAATTATGATCTCATTAACCCCTGGGTGAACCATTCACCCAGTTGAGAAGCACTGCTTTAAAAGATTTGCATTGATAACTTCTTATAATGTCTTCATTCATAGTACTTATATAATTTTAAGCTGAACTGGTCCGTATCTTTTCAAAACACAAAGAAAGTTATACTATTTAAACGCAGACTCTTAATTCTGAGCCATCATTGACCGTTAAGAAATTAATACAAAAGAATAATTCAACCCATAAAGATATCTTGTTTTTAGCAATCATTTTAACTTAAATACTACATAATCATTTTAATAAACAAAATTTGTTCTTTTCAAACAGTTTGTTTGTTTATAGTTAAGCACAAAGTTGCACAATGGGCTATCTGTGCTCTACCCACCACGGGTATCGAAAACCGGTTTCTAGCGCTGTAAGTCCGCAGACATACTGCTGTGCCACTAGGGGCTTTTCGAATAGAGCGTAAATATATCGACTTTTATGTTGTTTTTTTTCCTCAGAAGAGTTTCTAGTTAAGAGAAGTAAGCTATATATATACATATTTATTTTACCTTCAATTAATATTAATATTTATATCAGTCCAATAAATACGAAGAGGACGTAATGATTAAATATTCTCATGTTGATAAGAGATTAAATGAAAAGTTTAAATAATCTTAATGTCAGTGAAGTAATCTCAGTTTAATAGTCTATTAATAGCACTTCTATATCTTATAAATAGTATATTGATTTACATTTGGTCAACAGTATTTAATAAAGCTATTATTGTATCTATATACTTTATACTCTTAATGTTTTCATACTGATGCTGATGTTTTCATTAATTTCAGGAGGAATTCTTCTTCCCCTTAGTCATAGGGAAGAGATCGACGAATATGGAACGTTAATTATCCGCAATGTTCATAGACAGATGGATAAAGGAAAATATACTTGCACAGTAAGAAATCCGGAGGATCAAATTGCCAGTGGCTCTACTTACGTCTCAGTGGTAGGTAGGTCATGAGCAACGAGGTAATGTTTATTTTATTCAATTTTTTTCTCATGGTTTATAAGAACAAAAGACCTCATTTATTGTGTACCAATCGGAAGTACAAGGGCGTGATATAGAATTATGCCTACAGCTTCTTAATTCAGCTTTGTTATAATATAAATGGGTTTTATCAGAATAACCACCTTCGCTTTCTATTGGTCTAATTGGTCTAAAGCAATACCTGGCTTCTCTACTGATTTCACGAAACTACTTGATCTTCCCCTTTTTTCATTTAAATAAACGAAGTGATTTGGCATTTAACTAAACGATTTATTCAATTTTCCACTCAGTCTTAAGTATCTGAAGTTCTGTAACGTATTTTCTATACTTAAAGAAAAAACTTGTCCGTAATGAAATAGCATAGACATATACAAAAATTAAAAGGACATGTAATTCAATGACTAATCCCATAACTCTAATCACTAACATTGAGGTTTTGCAATTTAAAAAACTTTAAATGTAGTGTTTTGCTATTTTTAAACATGACAGTATAAAGAAAGCGAAATTTAGTATTTCATAAAAAAATAGATGCTTAGATAAAAAAACTGGATTTCGAAAGCGATTCTTTAAATTGCAAAATCTCCATGTTATTGTTAACAAGTCTGAATCACTCATCTTGGAGTTAAAATACCTGTCTCACACGGAAAAAACAAATGTTCTAATCGTTCTAACTCCTGGGTAGTAAAATGAGAATGAAGCTAAGTCACTATGTGAAATTAAGGTAGGCTACAGAATACGCATGAAAGAACTTAGTCATTTGTCTTAATGCTATTGTCCTATTAATACTGCAAGCAAGATATCGTAGTAATTCTTGTTCATAGTTTTATTGTTATATATATTAGTTCATACAATATCTCGTAATTAGACATTTCTTATTAATTCTAATTTGTTTATTTTGTTCTTTGATCTGGACATTAATCTTTCTCTGATTGCTCTCCTCAATAACTGATATTTATTCTTCCTATACTTTGCTTGTTGTTGCTCAAACCTCTAACAATGTATTTTTAAAATGGATACCAAACACTTTTAAATTATTATCTGTTTAAATAAATCAAGTTTTTTATCTACCTCCGTTATATTTTACCTTATTTTAATAGAGCGCGTACATAAATAAGAAATTAAGAAAACATAGTTTAAATACTTCAGTTTTTATTATTTTTTTATATTTGAGTATCGACGTGTAACGTTTTGCGGCTCGTTTTGTATCCAATACTTTGTTTTAACTCTTCTTGGAACCTTCTGCTCATATCTGTTTTCCTGTAAAATGTTAATACTGTAAGAAAACACTATTAAACGTTAATTAATCGAGAGAATACCTGTTAGGTGTTGATTAATTTTGTAGAAGACCTATTAAACTTTAATTCCTCGTAGAAAATGCTTGAAGTTTTAATTACCTTAAGAAATAATTACCACCTTCTATTTTACTTCTAATCAACTTTTAGGTCGTTAATTATTAATGTTATTTACTAAAATATCAAACAATGCCCTATTATGACTTTGGCTAAGGATACTTCTATTTGTGCATACTGAAATCAGTTATTTTCTTTCTTTTTTTTTTCAGTGGCTCCAGTGATTGACGAAAATTTTTTCCCCAAAAAAGTAACAGTGACAGAGGGTGTAAAAGCTCGTCTATATTGTAGCGTGATCGAGGGAGAACCCCCCATAAGAATACACTGGGAAAAAGAAATGCAACCAGTGACTAGTCAAGATCACATGACTGTAGACAATTCACATGATTCTTCAGTAATCATTTTTCACCGTGTAACAGCACTTGAGAGTGGAACTTACATGTGCATTGCCTCCAATAGGGTGGCCTCGGTGAACAAAACAACAGAATTAATAGTGAATGGTAAACTCTTATGTTCAAATTATAGATCAAAACTTCTAAAAACCGAAATCGCTGAACTTACTAGGTTTCTTTAAATATCATTTATTAATTTTATCCTACATGTTTTCTAAGTATCGTGAATGTTCACATTGCTTTCACACCGCGTTTTATCGTAATCTCAGTGACTTTATAAGTCTCCTTTTCATTGTAAACACTGAAGAACGTTTTAAACTTGGAGGCAGTTCTTTATTATAGCAGATTCTAGAACTGCACGACTTCGCAAGGGAAACATTAACAAGTCCCTCAGAAGCCAAGGGGTGTCTTTACACTACAACTTGTTAAATATTAAATCCGGAAACTCCCAAAGAGGGTGGTTTGGACGTATCTTTTCGAAACAAGTCTTTGTTTCTTAATTGATATTTTTAAGTGAAATACAGCATACTTCCATACTAGCTACTACTAAGGTCTAACCGCTGGGAGTAAATTCAGTATATATCAATAAAGCTACATTTTCAGCATCATTAATTAAGCAATTGCCAACCTTTTATGCCTCTGCTATCCATTTTAAGTTTAGCTTTCAATTGAGATGCGATCACCTGCAATTCGGTAGGGAAGGTCGAAAATCACTATAATCAGCAATAGGATGAGCAGACAAGAACATTTTGAAAGCAGCTACAGGCATAATATTGTACTCGGCTTCTTGTGCTTGGCTGTTAAGCTCGTACTACACTGACGAATTTCACTCACTTCACCGCTTCAAATCACTTTTCGCAGCCTCAATGCTAAAATATTGCGGGAAATGTCTTCTTTTTAGCCAATAAAAATATATATAAAAACAAATTCAGTTCAAATTAAGAAAAACCGGATTGTGCAGTTTTTTGTTGGTGTTTTTTTCCAACAAAAATGTCCCTCACTGGCTCATCAGGGGGCCTGTTCAAAACATATAAACTAACTTCTTATGTTTCCGAGAACATAAATAAACAAAAAGTAAATCAACGGTTTTACAAGATAATGATAAGAAACTACCTATATTACTCAAAATTATTATTTACTGCCAACGAACTGAGCTTGAGTTATAACCTGTAACTTAAAGTTATTGACTTGTTTTTCCATTTAGTGTAATTTTTCTTTTTATTCAGTACCGCCTCGTTGGATAATTTCTCCTAAAAATGCATCCGTTGTGGAAGGAAGAGACGTTTATCTTCACTGCTCAGCAAATGGATTACCACAACCAACTATAATATGGAGAAAGGCCAGAGGTAACACTAATAGGATAAAAACTCATGTTTAATTATGCCATTTCAGTCATGTTCTCGCCAAGTCCATTGCGTTTCTCAGATAAAGTTCAAAAGCTGCTGTAGAAAAAGGTGGGTAGCTTTATAAGTCTTCCACCAACATTCACCCTATTAGGCTTATGTCCATACTAAACCCCATTCCGTTCTGGTGATCCGCTGTGGCTGTAAGCGCTTCCCAAAGTTAACTGAACTGCTTGTACTTCTGATATTACAGTTTTCCTTGTCAGGTTAGAAATCTCCGGTGATTTCCAAGGTATTTTATTGTGAAGTTCTGAAGTTGAAGCACCATTAGCTTTATGTATCTTTACTTCATTTTAACACACTTTGCACTTGGCATAGCAGTGGAGAAGATATTTTTACAAGCTTTAATAATCTTTCTTGGAATGGATTTCTTCGATAGCATTAGGTTGTTCTTTCCTTGTTTGTTTTCTTTTCAATAATAAGGCTTCTCTTGTACTATTCAATGATCTATAACAGTTACACGTGCCTGAAGGGTTAATTAAGCTTGACCATCTGAGGTTAAACATAACAGATCGCTATACTTCTTACTAAGACGTTTTCGTATCAGCATAGTAGAGCCATACGCTACAAACACACTTTAGTGGTTAAAACTTTTATATCCATACAGTAAAAGCTTTATAGTCTGATCTATAAAACCGTCTTAGCTAAGTCTGAAGGTTAATAACTATTTGCAGAGTATGATCAAAACATGTTAAAGATTTAAAATATTCAATGCAAATCAGCAATGTCTCATATCTTTAAAATCTTGTTATACCTGTATAAGCATATTTCATAAAACATGATCGTTCACATTTTATTCATACACATCTGTTAAGAGTAAACTAAATGTGCAGCTTCTAAACATAACAATATTTAATATCACATATGAAAGGCGTATTACACTTTTTGGAACAGTGATTGAATTTAACACACTAGTACTGAAGTCTTATTTTACCAGAAGACTATGATTTTTCTGCTTTCCCTGCTTCATAACAGTGGTCCTGTATCGATCATGCCATGAAATGTGGTTTTTCGGAGAGCAGCCATGTCAATATTTCACCCAGCTTCTTGAGCAGCTTTGCATAAACAGCTGATCTGTTAGGTTTACTACTTCTAAGCAGACGCTTAGCAGAACAAAGGTAGAAAAATTCGAAAGACTTGACAAGAATGTCGTTGAGCGGCATTGCTGTTACTGTAGTTTCTTTGGCAACATTTCTCAAGAAACCTGCTGTTCATTTCAAGAAACTTGTGAGCCTTGTTGTTTGTCTTTTGGGGTAGGGGGGATCAGAGGGTTCTGCTTCATGACCACAGCCTTCACTTTTCGGATGGATCCTTGGCCCAAATTGGCTTAATTAGTATGATTTCAGAACCCTTTGTTGTTCTAAACGCTCTATTGGGCAAGTTTTTCCACTTCAATAAAGAGCACTAAAGACTTCCTTATTCAAAATGTTGTGCTTTTGATCGCCTCCAATTTTTGAAGGCAATTTGCAAGCCTGGTTGGGCGGATTGCTTTATATGTAAAACAGAGGCTTGTTTATCATACCATACATATAGAACCATCTCTACACTCGTAGAGAAAATAGCTGACTTTCACATGTTTCCTTAATTTTTGCATGACCCACAGATTTAACTTTAATATTCTGAATCTTTTCCCTTTTACGTAAGTCAATATATATTTATCATTATATTGTCTAAAAACATGACAGACAATGTTTCTTAACGTCTACAACAGAGCGTTTAGTATGTTATATCAAAATGATTGAATTATGCATATCGTCAATGTGGCAATCACAGCCGATATAAAGTCTAGGGTGGAACGGAACGTATAAGAACTACATTTCGACACTATTTGGCGTTGCATATGTAGTGTGGTGCTACTGAAAACTGATCACTTTGGGAAAGGGTATGTAACAGCTCTTTCAAATGTAAAATATTCGTACATCAGATCATAAAGATGTGTTCAGATCGAGAATTTCCAAGATGGGAATATTTCTTGTACTTAATGAAATTGTAAAACAAAGGGATATAAATGAAATTGGGACACTAGGACCATTCAGAAAGGAACTTTCCACAAATCAAACCCAAACCGTGATAAGCAAAGCATGGTGTCTTGTAACAGATGACAATTCAAGTACACAAAGATCAGTGACTAAAACTGTCTACGTGTCCCAGGGAACAGTACACCAACTAATCAAGAAGGATCTCAGTCTGTAAACAAAGCCAGAAGGGTATGAGTTCACCAAGATAAGATAAGGCTTCCAGTCATACCTCACTTTCAACAGTCGCATACTCCAAGCAGCTAGAGAATGAAATGTGTATATTCAGGTTATTCCTTACCAAGACATACCAATCTAGTCATCTATGAATTTCTTTGAGATTGGACTATGGAAACGGACGCTGGGAAACCATTGTCCTCGTTCACTAGATGAAATATGAAAATCATTCATGGAGCAGTGACATGCTTTGGGCATAACAGCCTTGTAATGGAGCATTTTGAAATGGAAACTACGCACAGTTGTCAGACAGAGCATGACCGGACGTAGTTACATTGGCTATAACGGCGTGGCGAGGCTTCAAACTCGTTTTAGTATAATGTCCTTAAGAATATGTTATATGCTCATGTGGAAACCACGCAGTTAACCTCTTATTCATATTTAATCTGTTATCCTCAGATTTAGAGCCTTGACTGCACTCCTTTAGACAATACTTTTATATTCAGTTAAACTGCATGATTAGTGCATCATGCTATGGATCTGCAGGTCCAGCATTCTCATCCCGATACCGCAAAAAAAATAGAAACTTAAATGCACTTCGCACTTTGGGGTTGTGGGTACGCTATAAGGGTGATGGTCAAGTCCCTCTATTCAGTCAGACAAGCATACTCCAAGAGTTAACAGTGGGAGTTGTATTTAGTAACTTTCAAATTTTATTATCACTGTCACTGCCAACTTACTATTTCAATGCCAATGACAAAAAACTGAACTTATGAAGATCTACAATAAGTAGTAATATATAATTCATAATGTTGTACACGTCGTTGTTGTTTTTCTTTCGTGGTAACTCATTATACGCACACACACATTTATATATATATATATACATATGAATTTATTAAAATCAATGGTCTGAGAGATAATATGCACAGCAATAATATATATATATATATATATATATGCGGCAAATCATGGATTATTAAAAAATTAAGTTGAAGGTATTTTTATATTTCATGTTAAGTCATTATGAAACTTAATAGGGGTCACAAATATTTCAAAGTGAGTTACTTATCTTTCACAGGAAACACATACAACACCTTTATTTTATACTAATACCAAAAGAAATACTATTTAAACTACACTGTAAACAGAAAATCAACCCTTTTAAATGGAATACTCACTAAAACGAAAGCTTTATCTTGCAGCCTAGAAGGAAGCCTAGCATAACATTTGCACTATTAAAGAAAGATAATTTTGATTTTTCAAATTAAATGTTGGTGTCTTATTTTTTAGGACAAAATCCAGGAGACTTCATTTACTTATACTCTAACATTCGAGTGCAGCTTTTTGGCAACGGTACTTTGCTTGTTAGGAAAGTTGAAGAGACGGACGAGGGTTACTACTTGTGTCAAGCAACAAATGACATTGGCGCTGGTCTCCGTCAGCATGTCTTTCTTCAAGTTCACAGTAAATATTTTGAAATTTGTTAAAGTTTGTCATTCTTAAAGAAATATAAGAGCATCTAGTCTTATAATGACTAATATTTAGATCATTATGTCTTGAGAATATTATTCACACCTTAAAAGAAAGACTCGTTTTGTTGTGAACTGTATAATAATTTAATTTATTTCAGACGTTTTGTATTGTTTGCAGAGTAACTTTTGGCATGTTGTAGTAATGACTTGTGACGCTAAAAAATTTCCTGAGTGTCTCGAATTTTCCTGTAACTTTGGAGAAAATATATTGTTATAATATAGAAACATTCAAAGAGAGAGTCAGTTAGTTAGTAAGCTAGTCTACATGTATATGTCTACCAATTTTGATTTTGTGCCGTAGATACAAGAAGTTTAAAAAGTGATGGTTCCATTTTAGTTGTGAATTAAGCAGAGGGATCATAACAAATTTGAAGAAGTACAAAACGATATTTATGAAGTCCAGAAATATTATAGCAGCAAAATCAACGACATAAAGAAGAACATCAATGATGTAATAAAAGATCTAGAAAATCAGTTTTAAGTGCATGGACCAAACGAATTACACCTTTTCCAAATCTGACCAAGAATTGTAACCCCATACCACCAGCCATGAAATACCAAATAGGAGAACTACTGATGAGCCACCTATGGGCGGAGGACCTTAACTATACTAGTCCAGTTATATAACTACCTAATCCAGTTCTGGAATTTAACTGATCAGTTCAACAACATCGCCCATTTGAAAAATCAACAAAGTATGATGGAAAAGAAACTGTGGGAAGGATTTCAGGCTTAGTTCGAAATAATTTCCAAAGCAGATGGGTGAATAGTGAACAACAAGTTTGCCACCCATTTAAAAGAACCAACCTTAGCAAAATTACGTAACCCTCCAGCTGAGACACGTAACAGAAATCAAGCAGTGATGGCTTCCCGATAGAATATGTTTGGAGTGATACAACAGAGGAAGTTTCCAAAGCAAATTTCATGAACAGAGTATAGAGGAAAGACGAAACATTAGCCGAACTTGCGAAAGACATGGAAAGATTTGCCCCATTTATCTTACTGGATGCTCATCGTAAAATGATGTATTCGTTGACACGTTAACATTTCATGTATGACATAGTGGATGAAGACATGTGAATTAGATTAAAACATGGTAGGTGTACGTTAATAAAGTTAGCTGTTCATGGAACTTGAATCAGTTTAAGTCGCAGATAACAATTCAATTCACTCTCCGGGAATTATGACATTATTAAATCAAACAGTGTAAAAACATCAACCTTTTTTGATGAAGGTCTAAAAGAGCTCAACTAATTCATTAGAAAATTTTAAACTGAAAATGAAGAAGTAAACCATACGACGGAGGGTGTTTCAGTTGCAGCTTCAAAGCACATATTGCCAGGAACTGTAAACAAAATCATTTAATTAGATAGCTGCTTACTGAAGGTGGAGGATGTTAACCATAGGGAAAAGGTTTGAACTGTAGCTTAAAATAACATGTTGTTAAAAACTGCTCCAGAAAGATGAAAGGAGAAGGAAATTGCAATAGGAGACTGTGATGAATAAGTCATTCATAATAACTCAAAGAGACGATATCTTGTGGCTGAGAATACTCCACCTATCCCAACAGAAATAAAAAATATATTCGATTTATTGATGAGAACCACTACACTGGTTCTACACCTACAATTGTTCGACTTGATCTGGTAATAAAAGGCAGAAAACTGCTTACTCAAGAGATTAAGTAAGAATATGGACATAAATTTCAAACAAGAGGAAAGTTGGAAGTAACGCTCACTATGGGAAGCTTCTCTACACAACATAATGTGTAGGTAGGTGACATCGAGGAAGAGTGCATATTTGGAGCTGACTTCATACGGAAACATCGATGTGAGGTGTTATTAGCGTCAAATAGCTACAAAGTCTATGATAAGGAAGTACATGTGCTTTATATGACAATTACACCAATAGAAATTGGACTTCAAGTAATAACAAAGATGGGCGTAAATGGTAATGAAAAACAGCCGACATGGAGTGTAACAGAGCAGAATCCAGAAGAATAGGTGATCCAAGCTGATGGTTATCGGTTGTAATCGTCTGTGGAAAGACGTCAACGGGAGAACAGTTACTTGCTTAATTTCCCTGAAAACTTCACCAGGAGTAAGTTGCCCTGCTGGAAAACACGAGATTCCTGTCGAGACCACATTCAGTGTGCCACCAAGGATGGAGCCACTAATGGATTCCTTCGTCCAACTACCTTGAAATAACTCCTCCAGCGACAAAACAGCAAGTGGCAGTAAAGAGAGATCATCTTTGTATCATAGTTCAAGAAAATAAAGCAACTAAAAATATTTGATGGCAGGACAATATAAATGCTATTGTTTTTTGTTTTTGTTGTTTATTTTACAGCAAAGTCAGAATAGACTATCTGCTGTATCTAAAGCGGAGAATCTAACCCCCGCATTTTAATGCTGTAAGTCCGTAAAATTATCGCTGTCTCATCGGGTGACATTTAAATATTATGAATCAGTAAGGAAAGAAATACTGGCTTGTTGATCAAAATTAAGATTGTACTTTGCGTTTTGATAATTTTAGTATTGATTCAATGAATGTCATTTTAGATGTTAATTGTTAACATGATTGTTAATGTTTTTAATAATAAAGAGGGAGTATATTGCTAATTATGGGATCTAAGTTCAGGGAACTTCACAATTCAGGATGGAGATAGTGTTATGAACTGTGTTTCAATATTTCAATTTAAACCTTTTATATTGTTTGTTAGGGAGAGTTTTAGCTTGACATATTTATGATGTGTAGCACTTATAAATGTCCTCAGTATTTAGATTTGACGTGACATCTCACAATTTTTTTCAGATTGGGGGGAAATTATTGTAATAATATAAAATCTCCAAAATGTTGGTCAATTAGTTAGTCAGTGAGCTAATTCATTAATTGGTGAATCTGTTAGTCAGCCAATTTTGTGTTTGTACCGTAGACATGAGGGGATATACTAACAAGTAAGTAACTGTTCAGTTTTATTTGTGAGTTATGCCTATCACTTACTTAAATGTACTGGACTTTGCATTATTTTTAACGGAATGATCAAAAATAATCTGTCGAACGCTAGGAATATTGGATATTTTTTCTAAATGTTTAAAATGGTTAGTTGTATTTGGCTTAACCAAACGCTTGCATTGCCTAAAATTGGTTAATAATAAATACTTTTCCAACAGTGTCTCAATATTACGTTACATAACCAAGAGAAAAGAAAATGTATGAGACAGTCAGATTACGTTAAAGTAAATCATATATTCTATAATGTCTACATTCTGTTAAAACCTACTTGTACTGGTTTCTTTATATATAGATTTTCTTCATTGTTGTGCTCGCGTTATACACATATATGTTTCTAAATTGAAATTGGACTTTAACAGTTAAATTACTATAATTATATACACAGATTATGCAAATACTTTATTTCAAGATAAGTGAATTGAAACTGGCGTCGAGAAGAAAATTCAAGAATATTTTAACATTTACCTCTTACTTCAAGAATATTGTACGTAACATTACAGTAGCCTCCTTTTTTAACTTAATGTTGTTAGTAGAAGACCAGAAAGGCATGGCTCATTTCGAAGGCTTCCCGCAAAAACACATTCTAACTTTTTTCTTTTTTTTTTTTCATCTATTATTTATTTCATGTGAAGATCTATTGTTTTTTTTAAACAAAAAACAACATATTTAAAATATCATGCGAGAACAACGAACAAATTAACTGCGATTATGAGACAAAATTAAAGACTGCGTATTTTCAATGCATAAGAGAATAATTTATTCGTCCGTGAAAAGTCTAGAAAAATTTCAACACTTTCTTTCCTCATCTGAACAACAAAATATAACAAGTTTGAGTTATGCAAATGTGTATATTAGATGATAGCTAAATCAAAAAAAAAATTATATATATATATATATTGTTCATATAAGTAGTATACTTAACCTATAATAATGAAATGTTAATTAGTTTGTATGTTTCAAATTCGTAATTTTATGTTATTTTCCTTTAATCATTCCTTCATTTGTTGAATACAAAATGATACAAAAGATAAAGGAAGAAACTTCAACTATGAAAGTATATGCACAAATTTCTTATAATAAAAAGCAAAGCAGTTGGTTATAGGCCTGGAATGGCCTGGTGATTAGGGCGCTCGACTCGACTCACCGAACATGCTTGCCCTTTCAGCCGTAGGGGTGTTATAATGTAATGGTCAATCCAAACTATTCGTTGATAAAGAGTAGCCCAAGAGTTGCTAGCGGGTGGTGTTCACTAGCTGCTTTCCTTGTAGTCTCTTAGTTTTAAATTAGGGATGGCTAGCGCAGATAGCCCTTGAGTAGCTTTGCGCGAAATCCAAACCATGTTGGTTATAATGCATGATTTAAAGCACAAAAGAAAATACTATCACGACATATTAATATTAGAATCTGACAGAGAGTATAATAAAACACTTGAAATTGTAACTTCGTTACTTTGAATGCTTCCATAAGGACAAATGTACCGAATTTGAGTTATTGTAAAACTGTGCTCAATTTATTCAGTTTTATTAATACTCTCTTTTTCAGCTTCACCTCAGTTCGATTTGCCATACAGGAGTCAAACAGTACAAAAAAATGAAAATATAGTTATGGCTTGTGCCGCTAGAGGAGAACAACCAATGAAAATCATTTGGAAAAAGGACAGAAATGAATTAAATAATTCAAAGAACACACGGTAACTTTATGTATTTCAATTACTTTCTTCTTATTCATTTCATCTTTTCATTGTAATGACTTTTTATATTACCCGTATGCTCAAAATAGGTCTTCTTATAATATACAGCTAGAAAATTCTGTATTTAATTACATTAACATAAACTCATTCAAATGTTTTACTCTACGACAAATAATTTAAACTCCACCAATAAAGTAGAAAGACAACTTGTATATTAAAACTCATGTGCTTGATCAAAAGTAAGTTTAAATTGTTAATATCCTCTTTTGTTTTTTCTGTGACCGATTCTAGTTGTGATATTAAAATACGCGAATAACTTTATAATCGAAATAAAATATTTGTAAGCGCTTTGGGAAAGAATAAAACATTAAAATGGCAATTCTATTGTTAACGTATTTTGTCAGACATTTTCGTGCGAAATTTTTAACATTAATTGTTATTTATGGTAATTATATCTCTATATATACCATTAATATGTATACTACCATAAACTGTATTATGTTTATTTGTTTGCTTTTTAGCACAGCTGCAGAATTAACTATTTGTGATATGCCCACCGCAAGAATTGAACCTCGAATTTTAGCCTTATAAGCATTTAAGCATACCGCTAAGCTGTATGAAAACATTAAACTGTATTCTTTTACAAAGGTTTTTGATTAAAGAAGATAATGAAGAAGGAAAAAAGGTATCAACGCTCACTATTACCAAAGCCTTAAGGCAAGACTCTCACCTCTACTCTTGCTTTGCTTCCAACAAGTTTGGAGAAGATGAGACAAACATACAATTAATTGTACAAGGTAAACTGCGTTAATGCATTTGTATTCAAATTTAAGTGTCCAAGTTACTAGCTTAATCAGAACTTCTCATGCAAAACCACACTCTCGGCAACTTTACCAAATATTTTGAAACCATACTATTATGTATTTCGCTTGCATCGGAATACAATCACTATCATTTCCTTAACAGCAACGAATCATCATGACAATAAAATGTCGTGACTGAAGTAAAAGGGGTTACCTAGGCAATTGGTACGATCCATTAAAACTTTCGACCAGCTCACATTTAGAATATGACAACGTATATTATATTATATTCTGTTTGTGTTAGCTTGTATGATAAATAATAACATAGACTATCTGCTTATATATACTTAGAAACTGAATTAGTCTTATGCTACATACTATATTTATTTAAGCATGTAAGATAGACCTTACGCTAGCTTTAATAATTGTTATCTTCAGATTCATAAGGTCACGCAGAGAACGCTAGCGAAATGCGTCTAAGAGATCATGATGAAAACATTAATCATTGATACTGATAAGTAAAAGAAGATTAAGTATACAGTAGCTAATTAATAAAATAATCAGGTTTACAGTTTTTGCGCAGTGCTATATAAAGGGTCAACTGCGCATAGCCGTCCATAATTTTGAACTGACAGACTAGAGGGAAGGCAGCAGCTGGTCAACAGCACCTATACCAACACTTGAGATACTCTTCTCAGATTGAAGAATGGGATGTAACTGTCACTCTTATTGCGCATTTTTAAAACAACGGGTCACAAACCATGAATCCTCAGATTCACACTCCAGAAACACTACTAACCATAAGAGTATGCTCGGACCTGTAATTCAGAACGATTAAAATATTTCGATTAAGACCAAGTGTGTTTATGATAAGCAAAATTAAAGAGTTAGAAGGAAAATAAATAAAACAGTAAAATACAATAAATTTCAAATTGAGAGTAAAAATATGAAAAGTCGCAAAAATATAAAGCATAATTATCATAAATATATTTAAAAGTGTTTAAAAATTAAAGAATAAAAAAACGTTGGACCTGCTCAGTAAGGTCGTACGTTTTGTTGTTTTTTATCTTTAGCGCAAATGGGCTATATGCACTCTGTCTACCACGAGGAGTCAAACCCAAGATTTTAGCGTGGTAAGTTCGTAAACTTACCGCTGACCCACTACCCACTAGAGAATGTTATTCGTTTTTGCTGCAATAAATACGTACATAAATTTTAGCATAAACTTTTTCTTATGGTAGCCATACATATTTCAAACTTGAGTTTATAAATTAACCTTACATGCGCAATGAGCACAGAGTATGCGAGATTGGATTCAACTTCTTTGTAAATCCCTTAATTATTGCCCTCCTATATAAATAAATTGTAATATAGTTCAGACTAGTTTATTTCCATCTAATTCGTAATACCCTCTGGCAAAATACGCTAAGTCATTTTCATGTATTTCAGTAATTGATGACTAAATATTTTTTGACCTCATGTTTTACAGGTTTCATCCTACAAGGCTGAGATTCACAACTTGCTGTATTATGTAAAATAATTTAATTCTGTTGCCATGAGTTAAAATAATGGAAATATTGTTTTCTTAATTTATGTAATCAATAGAAGTTACCAGTCGTCTGAAGATGTTTCAAATTCAATCATTTGCACTCCTGCTCTATGGCTTGATGTTGACCAGAAATATGTACATGACATACTGCTAATACTCTGAAGAGAACAATATTATTTTTTCAGTTTGCGTTGCTTTATAATTGAGTAGGCTAATTTTACATATCAATAAAGGCTGATAAAAACAATTGAAAATGTTCGTGTATGCCTCAAAAGAACAAAATTTTTATATATATGCAGAAAAACTAAACGTTATTTTAAGTGCCTCTTTTAAAGATCAAAATTTCCAACCGCTACTAAAAACAAAACATGACATAAATATATACCGAACGGGGTTTTAAAAAAAACGGTAGAACTGGTAGGATGAATGCATAGTAACTTGGTGCAGTTAAGACGTAATCAAGTAAACAGATTTTTCATAAGTTATACACTATACGTTATAATCGAATATTAATTTCAATGCAATGTAAAGACACTAAAAGGGGGTTAAATTGGGGCAGAACCGTCCGGAACGGTGTCCCACCTCTTGATTCAAGATCTTCTGATTGAAAAAAAAAACGCCGTTCCCCTTTATCGTCTGAAATATCGATAAGTCGACTTAATACACAAAAGTATAAGTGATTTGCTGCTTTCTAATTTCTCATTCACAGATTACAAACAAGTTTTAAAAATGAAATAAAAATTATTCTCTGTAAGCAAGTTTGTCGATTTCTTGGAGGTTATGTACAAGTATGTTGTATAAAATTCTCTTCTGTATTTGTGATGGTTATTATATGTTGATGTCGCTTCTATTCAGCATACCCTTGACATCTTCAATAACTATAATTACATCTTAACAAATATTCAAGTAATATATTTCTATTGATATTGATATTAAGGAGGGAGACTGGCTTTGGTTTAGAAATTTATCGTTTCTTTGGTTTTGTTTAAATTTAATATCAGTATTTCCTAATTTAGCTTCTATTCAGCATACCCTTGACATCTTCAATAACCATAATTACATCTTAACAAATATTCAAGTAATATATTTCTACTAATATTGATATTAAGGAGGAAGACTGGCTTTGGTTTAGAAATTTATCGTTTTTTTATTTTATTTAAATTTAATATCAGTATTTCCTAATTTTTCAGAACCACCTGACCCTCCTTGGAATTTAACCGTGCTTAACGTCACAAGCAGAACAGTAACATTTCATTGGTTAAACGGCTTCAGCGGGAACAGCCAGATACTTCGCCAACTCGTTCAATATAAGCTACTTACAGGCAAGTTCTTACCATACATTATAGAAAAAAATGCATAACAATGTATAACGTTGGTATCATGGTTGTATTGTAAAATAATTTACAAGACATTCAATGAAAGTATAATATATAGATGGTATATAGAAATGTGATATGTGTGTAGGCAAGGAGTTCACGTAGCGAAAAAAAAGTGTACCGTTATGAAGAGTATAAAAATTAAAATAGTTGGCTTAACATCGGGAAAACTCGTATATAATTTATTTCGAACGATGAAACAATAGACACACACACCTAAGAAGGGTAATATTATATAAGAAAAGCAACAAGTGATGTTTTATGAAACTAATTTCCCGCAAATTTTCACAGTTATTCACTATCAAACGCTTAAAACAGAAATTTGACAATAATTAAATCTTTTCAAAGATGACGTTATTTTATCGTGATGTATATACGTTGTGTGTGTGTCGATAACCATGATTTTTGTTGTAGATAAACAAACACCCTCAGATATCAAAAACCTTTTCGTCACAATTCTGTTTGTTTGCTTGTTGTTAAGCGCAAAGCTACACAATGGGCTGTCTCTGCTCTGCCTAAAACGGGTATCGAAACCCGATTTTTAGCGTTACAAGCTCTCAGAATTAGTATTGAACTACGACCGAAGATTGTTTTTTAAAGATATTGTGATATAACTTTTGCTTGAAGGTTTCATGCACTTTTTGGACTTATATTTTGCCCTATCTAGTTGTAAGACACTGGTTTTAACAGGTTTGTTTATTTTCTTATAGCAAAGCCACATCGGGCTATCTGCTGTGTCCACCGAGGGGAACCGAACCGCTGATCTTATCGTTATAAATTCGAAGACTTATCTCTGTCCCACCGAGGGATAAGCTTTAACAGATTTCCGATAATCGGTTATTTTTATGGATATACATATATATATATATATAGAGAGAGAGAGAGTTTTTGTTTTTGTTTTTTCATGCCCAAACTACCACTACAGAGTAACTGTTAGAGTAAACAGTTTCTACAAATAATAATTTGAGATGCTTAAGTGAACAAAAAAAAAAAGTTATACATTTTGTTTTCTTTATATTTTAATAATTTATCGCAATGTTTTTCAACGTTGTTGTTAATTTTTATCCACTATAAAATGCATGTTTTAGGTTTCGGCATTGCAAGTGGTAACACTTTTTAGTCCTAACTGAAATGCTTATCATAAAGCAGACACAAATCACTTTTCTATAGATGAAATGCGAGTCGCTTCCAAGTATGAGATCAAAGGCAGTGTTGAGAACGTCTCTTCATAACTGTTTTAAAGTTAGATACACTACAACTACCTGAGAAGAGGTGTATTTCTTGTCCACTGGAGCATGTTCATCTATACCAAATGGTTAAAATTTATTGTCTTCTGACAGCGTCAGTTGTTTTACTTTTGGATATCTATAAAAAAAACTCCGTAGAAAGTTAACATTTCTAACTTATCTTGTGATTCCTACTTTTCTTTTGGATATCCAATTAAGATGAATTGGTTTCATTAAAAAGAAAAGCATAATGTAATAATATATGTTAAAAAAATTGTGAAATACCATACTTAATTTATTAAACAACCTTTAAAAGAGATAAAGTATCTTGTGTTGCGTATGTACTTCAAGCGACGATGTTAAGGTGAACCTGTAAAAAAAGCAACGAGAATTTTCTGATTAATTTTCTGAGAGATACTGAGCATACTAATTTACAATCAAGTCCTTAGATTATAACAGTCCCAGCTCCCGCTTTTCTTATGTGTTAACTGGTGTTGTGGGAATGGGAGCAATTAAACATGTGATGAGGTCAGCGACATTTCAGGGGGCCTATCCCTAAAGCTGGCTGTGGATTATAAATATATTTTCTTTCCAGAAACCTTATACGTGCTACATACGATTTCCTGTGCGTATGTGGTATTTCTTTGAACGGTAAGAATATTCAATATGCATTCCTTAAGAAGCAAGCGCATTGCGTATACATAACGCTTCAACGTTGAAAAATACCAGTACTTATCACAATATGTCTTTTGTGCTATATTTGTCCACCAGTGAGACAGCGGTAAGGTTACAACAAAATATAGGGCTCGATTTCTGGTGGTGGACAGAACTCAGATAGCCTATTGTGTAACATTTCGCTAAAAACAAACAAACGTTATACATAAAGTTTTCTTATTCTGATTTATTGTTTACTGGCTGACGTCCCATTCAACACACGGGGAAGGTATCGGGCTTTTGGTGGTGACATAGGGAGATTAGGTCCGAGCGCCGACCCCTTATGTCACTCCTCGGAAGGACAAGGTTGGTTGAAATCAATATAATAGTATATGGAGATAATAGGGACCCATTGAGTGACATGAGGATACATTCCAAGCTGTTGACAACTGATACAGATGTTCACACACAAACGTTTATCGAATAATGGTTTGTATATTTACTCTGGTAATTGTAGTTATCTGAATACACCAAGCCTTGTTTCCTGTAGGGTAGCAAAGTGGCAGAATTTTTATTAAATAAAAATTCTATATTATTTATTTTAAATTATTCTTTTCATATTCATGTTATGTATTATACATTCAGGATATTTCTTTTTATGACAACAAATACAAGAGATCTGAAAATAGATTCACCACAAAACTTCAATCAATATATTAGTTTGTGATTTTAACTTTTATACGCTGCGATGGGCCTTCTACATTCGTCAGTAACTCTTTTGCTGCATAACGTTTGAAAAGTTGTTTTGTATTTCAGATTTTTGGTTAGATTCGGTAATGCAACTGATAATTCCTGGCTTGGGAAGTACTGCAACTCTTCAAAATCTCCAGCCAGTGACAACTTACAATATCCGTGTAATTGCTGAAAATAGTTTAGGACCCAGTGAACCCAGCAACGTCATTAATATAACTACACAGGAAGAAGGTAAGCAAAGATAATGTAATGAAAGTATGTGTCAAATAAAATTAATTATGGATATTTCAAATAATTTTACAAACTTAAAAAAATTACAATATTTTAATCGCTTTTTAAAGATATATAATATTTACAAAAAATATATATTTATTCTACTTCTGTTGTTCTTAAAATCGCACACCAAATAAAAATTTCATAAATATATATATATTTCTTTCTGAAATTAAATAAAAGTTTTTGTGATATTCGTTGGATATATTTATTTATTATATGTAGCGCCATCTGGTGCTCCTATTGAGGTGAACGTCTACTCAGCTGGTTCTCAGTCTTTGAAAGTTATGTGGAAGGTAAGATCACTTGTATTTTTAACTGCGATATAAATATTTGTTTCTCAAAGATATTTTTTCGAAATCTTCACATATTTTATAAATGGTCTTTTTTCGATAGCCACCTGCTAAGGACTTGCAGCATGGAGTTATCACCGGGTACAACATAGGTTTCCGAAAAACTAACAAAGATGAGCCTTATCAAATAAGAGACGTGACCACAGTTACGTCAGCTTCTGAAGGAGTTGGATGGCAGACGACATATTTGACCAATCTAGATAGATTGACTACTTATAGTGTAGTAATCCAGGCCTACAATAAAGCAGGTCTCGGACCGAGGTCTAAGGAAGTCACAGCATCGACCCTGGAAACCGGTAGGCTCTTTTCAATAAACCAGAAGGAAAAGTTACATCCCACTGTAATATGTATATTCATTTATAGTATGCATACATCTATCGAAGGTTTTCTTGATAAAATATTGTAAAAAATGCTTTTTAATCAAAGTTATTTGATTACATTATTTTAATATAATGAATTTAATGGTAATAATGATTTTATTAACAATTTAGTAAATACTTTTAGGTGTAAACAATGTGTTTTAATTTCAGAGTTTTGGAAACTGTCTTTAGCATTACTGTGAAAATAAAAATAAAAACACCTCAAACTGTTTAGAGAAACATGAGGAGTGTTAGGTGTTTCAAACCTTTAGTCTGGTGCAGCTCTTTAGTCGTAGTTAATAATAGGTTTCTAACTGAAAAAACAAAACTAAAAGAAATCTGAAAACATCTAAGGAAAGCTAAGGGCCTTTCTAAAGTACGTAAGGCTGGTCAAGGCCTAGTGGTGTTAGTGCACTGGGCTAAGTAGCTTAAGGTCCAAGGCTCATGCCGCGAAATGCTCACAACTGTCACAGTCAATCTTGTTATTCGATTAACATGTAGAGGGAGAATACTGGTGATTGTAGTTCTAAATTACGGATCGCAAAAGCTCTGATGCTTTTGACCTGTATGTTTGGACCATGGTGATGCATAAAGAGCTATTCAATTTGAAGAGTAAGTTATCTAACATATAAAACCATTAATAACCTGTATTATTGTTTTGTAAACACGTGTACGTTTATAGGAGCCAAAATTGAAATAATAATTTGAAAACGATTAGTCATTTGTAAAATGTATATAATACTTTTACAGAATGGTATAAGTTTTAGTAATTTCTATTCAATCTGTAATAAAGCCGTGATATTATTTTGGAAGCAAATATTTGATAGTCTCATCAAATGTTCTGCGTTATAAGTGTTCGCGCATAGCATTGCAATAGCTATCTGTGCTAGATGTGCCTGATTTTAAACTGCCAGACCACAGAAAAGGCAGCCAGTCAACAGCATCTACAGCGAACTCCTGATTAGACCGTCACTCTTATAATTCACCCAAAATGCAAAGCGCATTTTTTTTTTCTGTACAATACAACTGGACACAAACCATGGATTTTGAATCCATAATCAGGCAGACTAACCATATGGCATCCCCAGCCCTTCGCAATATAAAACCAGCACATATTTTGGTGTGCATTGATTAGTTTAACTAAACTACTTCGCGAAATTATCTAAAGCACATTTTAATAAGAAATGAAATTCTAGCTTATGACTAGGAACACGCATATCCTATACATATATACAATAATGGAAGTAATTATGGAAACACACGGGTGATGCACAGCAGTTACAAATAATGAGTAATAGCAACTGAATGATGAATTTATTAGTGGTACAAAACATTATCACATAAAATACTACAGAAAAGCGAATAAGTTATACAACGCACTAGTATTTTATATGCGTGTGACCCTTGTTTTACACAAAGCATTGCTGCTATGCAGTTTATAACTATACGGCTATGGTATATGGTTCCAGATTACTTATATTGCTCTATACAGTTCAGTCATAATGTTTGGTTGCCTTTTGCCCTTCTCGGGTCATACATAAACCCATACAGCCTCCAATGTGGGCCTTTGCATTGGCCAAGCCAAGGTTGTGAGTGTTCCATTTCCTACTTTTACTATCCAGATATCGTTATTCCACACTTGTTGTATGCTTAGCATCTTTGTCTTACTGGAAGATGAATCCCCACCTGATGAGTTGCATTCCTCAGGGAATGGCGTGATGGATCAGAAGCTGTCTGTACTTTTCAACAGTTAAGCTGCCTTCAGTTTTGTGTGGATTAACGACATCATTGGCTAAGATGGACCTTGAAATTTGTACTGATCCCCCACCATACTTCACTGTAGATGTTGTATATTGACTGTGATTCCGTTCTTTTCTTTGCTGTCGATCAAACTGTCCTTAGTTGTTGCCAAACAACTAAAACTTCAGTATTTGTCCATTACAACCTTTTGATTTGATTACTTTTTCTTGGCATCAGCTTTCTAGCAACTATACATCCATTGAGACGGCTTCACACTTTACATTTCCAAAAGTAACATTCACACCTGTATTTGCAGCAAAGTTATTGGCATGATCTTTACTCAACCATCACCTAACGTAAAGCATTGTGGAAAGTTTTGGTTTTCTACCATGACTACATGTGCTATTAACAGTGAAAGTTTCACTAACCTGTTCATGTTCCTACATATAGATTCTACTGAAACCTGAAGGTTTCAAAACTACGTAGTTCATCGTATCCTTAAAACACCTACCTCAACAGACACAAATTGTATTGTAGGTAGCTATCCTTGTAATAGAAAGCGCTGTAACAAGTGTGCTTATATTGACTCAAGAACATCCGTGCAGGGTCCTAAATCGAGTTTTTACTTTAAAGAACAGTATAACTGCACATCAAAATACATTATATATTCCACTATGTTGTGAAAAATTATACATAGGAAACCAGAAGATTATTAGCAGAACATCTCAGAGACATAATAAATTGTAACGCAGATAAACAAATGGCCCGACACTTCAATTTGTACAACCACACACTTGACCATTTCGAAATATTTGTTTTGAAGAAAGCCCCTACAACCAAACATAATCGCGAATTACAAGAAAACAAAAGAATTTATGATCTGGGAACTATCCACTTCTATGGGATAAATGAACGTTTTAGCTTTTTGTAATATATCTCGCTTTAATTTTATCCTCTCTTAAAACGTTTTATAAAGTAAATTATGTATCTATTTTTTATTTTGATTTTTTAAACTTTTGTTGACCAATCCTATATTTACTTGTACCAAATTCTCAGTTCTAGATTTTTACTTTTTTAAACTATAATGCATATATAATCATATATGTATGCGTTTGCGTGCGTGCTCGCGCACGCATGTGTAGATATGCATTTGTTTGTATATATGAGAGTGTATCTATGTATATGTATATATATATATATATATATATAACTTCCTATTGTTTCAAGCGTTTGTATCTGAAGAAGGGCATTGCCCGAAACGTTGTATCCACAACAGTATATATATATATATGACTCTCATATATCTGTAGTTAACTCCTTGTTGTCTTCGGTGGTTTCACTTACAACATACTTCTTTTTATCTCTACTAAAACATGAAATCTTGCTGCAATTTGTGCCAGAATAACCAGCCACAATTTTGATTTCTATATGCTTATCTTATGGTATTTCAGTCCTAAGAGCCATATCTGGATTCATACTGCTACTACTATTGGGCATGGTATGACTACCTGTACTTTTGTGGACCTTATATTAGTGGGGCACTTTCTGATTGGTTAGATAATAATCAATCACAGCATAAACTATCAAAACATGGATGTACTCTAGTACTCTTAATTTTAAAACGATATAGGGGTGACATTATTGTAGTACTTCTTTTTTATACTTTTTTCTCATTGTATCCAGAATCATTTCCAATACAATTTCATGTAACCTCTGCAGAATCGTGGACCCATGTCGTAGTGAAACATAAAGACTTGCTGCAATTTTATGCAAAGATTATACTCAACCAACCAAACATTTGATCTCAACATGTTAGTCATTCAATATTTTAGTCTTGTAAGTCATAAACAGGTTAACATTACTACTGTGTGCATAGTGTGTCTGCCTCTACTTTTGTACTAGTGTAGTACTTTCTAATTAGTTGTATGATATGTGGACATATTATGTGTTTTCAACTCTTTAGCTGCTGGATAATGGTTCGAATTTTCAGTGTATTTTAAGGTTTACTCTTAGTATAGAACGTCAATAAAAGAAACTACTATGTTTCTTTTGTCTTGATTTTTCATGGGACTGCATAAGTCACAAAAGTCATCACGCGTTTTCCTTTAGAAGAGATCATTGTAGCATAAATGATGCTATAAATAGAAGCAGTGGTCTGTTATGATGGTGAACCGTATGATTGCCAAGGGGTATATCATACTCTTTGATAATAAGAAAGTGGCTCTCAGTCAAATGGATGGTGCATGTACATGGGGAGAAAGAACTTTGTTTTCGTTGTATTGTTTTTCTTTGTTTAACAGATTTTAGTACTTTTTGCCAAATTCAGCTTCACTGAGATTTACTAAACCTATTTGAGATTCTTTGTTTATCAGACTTGAGATGTGTTTAGCACAACTTCAACTTTAGTTTAATAGGGCTAGAAGCACACTAGTGAGAGAGCAGTAGTAAAGTTCACTCTCTTGCCAGCTGACTGCAAGCATTTGTTCAAGTGTTTAATTTAACTTGGACTTTGATTGTTTTGAATATTTCATAATAAAGGTATAATTGTTTACAGCCTTGTATCCGGCCTCTTACTTTTGTATAAAGACTCAGTCAAAAGCAAGGAAAATATGGCATTGCCCTATAATATAGTATCCAGCAAATCCTCCTTTTTGAGGTTCTGCAGGCTACTTTAGGGAAAATCAGACAATCTGAGAACACCACAGAGTATTTAGGAAGGACAATTTTGGTGCTATGATCAGGATACTGTTATTTTTTCGATCTGTTTTCTCTAGATGACTGTCTTGTTATCTATGCTTTTCAAGCTCTTGCACCATTGAGTCGAAGCTTTGCTTTCAAATGGAATTTTTGCAAAATGAAAAATTTTTAACTAGAAGGACAAGATAGCTGCTGAAGGTGAGTTGTTGTTATGGGGTACAATCAGGTCTATGAGAAGTCCTCTCACGGATATTGAGCTTTTGCAAATGCTGCACAGTCTCTGATAAACATCTTCCTGTGGCTGTAGCCCATGCAAAATAGACAGTTGCTATATGGAATACCCAGAGTAACCAAGAATATTTTCCCCTGAAGTCTGACCTCAATCAACTTAGGATGATCATGGTGGTATGCGTGGCGTGGTGGGTATGAGACTGATCTAATCTCTTTAGGACCCTCAGATAATTCTAGGACTGGATAGAGCTACCCCAGTTCTGTTCAGT